CCTTAACCTTGCTTCGTTTAATGGCAAAACCAGCTTTCAGTAAAATCTGGATAATTTTTTCTCCCTTTTCAAAGACTTCCCCTGCTGTGCTCCCCCACACAATGATGTCATCGATATACTGTAGATGTTCGGGAGCCTCGTTCTTTTCCAGTGCAGCCTGGATCAGTCCATGGCAGATGGTGGGACTGTGTTTCCACCCCTGGGGCAGTCAGTTCCAGGTGTACTGCACTCCCTTCCAGGTGAAGGCAAACTGAGGTCTGCATTCCGTTGCCAAAGGAATGGAGAAGAAGGCATTTGCAATATCAGTGGTCGCATACCACTTTGCTGCCTTGGACTCCAGCTCGTACTGAAGCTCCAACATATCTGGCACGGCAGCGCTCAGTGGTGGTGTAACCTCATTCAGGCCGCGGTAGTCCACCGTCAGTCTCCATTCCCCACTGGACTTGCGCACTGGCCATATAGGGCTGTTGAAAGGTGAATGGGCCTTGCTGACCACCCCTTGGCTCTCCAATTTACGAATCATCTCATGGATGGGGATCACAGAGTCTCTGCTGGTACGATATTGCCGACGGTGCACTGTTCTCATGGCAATTGGTACCTGCTGTTCTTCAACTCTCAGCAGTCCCACAGCAGAAGGGTCATCTGAGAGACCAGATTTAGTTTCCGGATGTCTTCTGTCTCTACAGCAGCTATCCCAAAAGCCCAGCGATGTCCTTTTGGGTCTTTGAAATATCCATTTCTGAGATAGTCTATGCCAAGGATGCATGGGGCCTCTGGGCCAGTCACGATGGGGTGTTTCTGCCACCCGTTCCCAGTTAAACTCACTTCAGCCTCTAATACAGTAAGCTGCTGGGATCCTCCTGTTACCCCAGAAATAGAAATGGATTCTTCTCCTACATATCTTGATGGCATCAGGGTACATTGGGCACCGGTGTCAACCAAAGCCGTATATTTTTGTGGTCCAGATGTGCCAGGCCATCGAATCCACACAGTCTAATAGATCCGATTGTCCCTGTCCTCTACCTGGCTAGAGGCAGGGCCCCTCTATTCCTGGTCATGGTACACGTTGCTCTCTTCTGGTAAATAGGTTCTTGAGGTTCCTTCAAGAGGATCAGTTATATCATTATTCTTATATTGTCTGGAACTCTGTGTTTGAGAGACTGGAGCAGCATTGACTCTTTTTGTGTTAGGTGTTCTTTTTAGTTCACGTACTCAGGCTGCTAAGGAAGAGGTGGGTTTTCCATCCCACTTCCTCATGTCTTCTCCATGCTCCTGAAGAAAAAACCAGAGGTTTCCTCATGGAGTGTATCCTCTCTCCTTGGCTTGGGAGCACTGGCTCCTAATGGCAGAGATTCTTCTTGGTTCTGGTGAAATATGGTAGCCTTCTTCCTTAAGTTCCTTTTTTAGTTTCTTATGACTCTCTTCAATCAAGTCCCGGAATTGCTCAGCCAACCTTGTTTCCATGGACGAGACATGGGTACGAAATGGGGCAGTGACCGTATCCTTGTAAATTCTTAATTTATTGGCTAAGACGCCCACCCTGTCCTCACCTTCTCTCCACTGCAGTGTTGCCAGGTAACGAGAGTACATCTCTGGTCCAAGCTGTGCAAATCTCAACCACATTTGTGATGTGCACTGGACACAGTCTGGACTCTTAGGAAATCTCTCATCTTCTGCAAAAATTATCTCCAACACAGCCAATTCCCTCAGGCATCGGATACCTTATTCCATGGTATTCCATTTTCCTTGGAGCACCTGGAAGTCTTCTTTACAAAGGTATCTGTCCCTCACACTTGCAAGCAGTCGCCGCCAGAGGCTGAGAGTTTCCTGGGTTCTCCCAATCCCCTGGTCAATGACCACATCCCGGGATAGTGATCCCGGTTGCCTGGCCTCACTTCCATCCAGAATGGTGTCATTGGCTGCAGCGTCCCAGATGCGGAGAAGCCAGGTCAGGATGGACTCATTTGTCTGGCAGGTGAGTTCTCTCCGCAGGTCACGTAGCTCACCCAGGGATAGAGAGCGAGTGATGATCTATGGTTCTGTCTCTTCCGCTGGGTGCGAGGGTCCTGCAGCGTCCTCATCAGTCACTATGCGGACTGATTTGCTCCTCGATTTCTTCTTCTGAACGGGGGCAACTACTATGGGTTCAGGCTGCTCTGGTTTGGTGATGGTTTGTGTAGAAATGCTGATGGCGCTTTCGGTTCCTTCCTCCTCTGTGCCAGTCTGTGTAGACATAGACACTTTTGCTTTGCTTTTTGTTTCTTCCTCCATGACAGTCTGCGTAGACACGGACACTGTTGTTTTTCTTTTGGTTTCTTCTTTCTCTATGGCAGCCTGTGTTGACATGGATGCTGTTGTGGTATTCTGTACAGGCACGGACACTGCTGCTTTGCTTCTTGTTTCCTCTTCCTCAAGAAGACGCTGCA